AAAAAAAAAAAATAGTAAAGAATTATTTTAGTATTTTAACAACCTTCTTCTGCAGCATTCCAGCATTCCATCTGAATATCACCTTACTCTTGCATAGTGGCACTCTCGGCCATGTACACACACACACACACACACACACACACACACACACCCACAGACACGCACACAGACATACACACACACACGAGTGATTCACTGGCCAAAGCAAACCAGACCCATCCCAGAGAATCTTACGTAGGTTCGCATATCTACATATCCCTGTATGCACATTTATATGTATGTATGTGTGTATCACTCACCAGAAACTTTGGCCTCTGAAAAATTTCTCATTTCCAATTCTCCTAAGTAAACAGAGGCCAGCCATGATTCTGACTTTAGTCCTTACTGCAATTCTCCATGGGCTTTCACAAGAATAAGTAATGTCCTGAATTGTGCTGGTTATTCTCCTATAGTCTCTCAGCTGCATGCTGACACTTTCACTTTGGTCCATAATGCTGGAGACTGGAAATCTGAAAACTGTTTCCCAAACTCCTTTGCCAATTAGCTTCCTGCAAATAGGAGGCACTAGAGGAAATCAGCCGGTTGCAGGAAGGGAAGGGTGCTGTGTTGCCGCTCTCATTCTCTCCCCCCGTCCACTCCCTCCCTTTTCTTTTTCTGGCAATGTCTCTGGAAGAATCTTCAGTCTCTCCTCCGAAGCTCAGCTCTGGAGTGGCAGCTCTCCTCTACTGTCCTAAGTGGCAGTACCATCACCTCCTCCTTTCTGTGACCCTAGGCACAGGAGCAGCAGCTGCTTTCTAAAGTTAATAATCTGTGGTTTATCTCATTTTCCCTCTTCTTGCCTTCCAACATATTTCCTGTATTAAATTCCCTGTTTAAACTATCTAGTGTGCTTTTGCTTTCCTGGCTAATATTGCAGTATTTCCAAAATTGGTATAAACTCACTGCTTGAATCTATTTCTACTGAGTCAATGAAATGGAATACTTTAGTAGGCTGATTTGAAAATGGTCTGATGCCTAAGCAGTAGGCTTTCCCGCATGTTGATGGGGGTTCAAATAATGGGCATTTTATTTTTTCTTGCTGTTTTCCAAAACTACAGGATTGTTGTTCAGAAATGCTTTGCTGAGTACCTCAGCTTATCTTGTCATCCTTAAAGAAAAAAAATTCCGATTCTTTGCAAATTTACCTCTTAATTCTATCTCATTTGCTTGTATTTCCACGAGCCCAACTTCAATTTTCAACATTTCTCCTTGACCTTCGTCTGATCCATCACCTAATCTCGCTCTTCTTTCCTTCTGCATTTGTGCCTGATGAATCATGTCTCCACCTGTCTCAAGTGCAGCATGCTGTTTTTCATTTGTAACAGCCTCTCATGCTTAGAGCTCGTATTACCAGAAATTTCTCATAGGTTCTATAGCAGTCCTTATCTGCATGTTTCTTTTTTTAATTGCATTTTAGGTTTTGGGGTACATGTGAAGAACATGCAAGATTGTTGCATAGGAACACACATGACAGCGTGATTTGCTGCCTTCCTCCCCTTCACCTATATCTGGCGTTTCTCCCCATGTTATCTCTCCCCAACTCCCCACCCCCGGCTGTCCCTCCCCTATTTCCCCCCAACATCTACATGTTTCTTAACACTGAAAACACAGTCCCATTGTGTACCAGGGATACTTTAGTCCTTTTGCTATTGCCTTCAGTGACAATATTACAATCATATCATCCTTTACCTATTTTTAGGGTGGGTTTTATTCATTTTCTCTATTAGTGATATGATTTGGCTCTGTGGGAGGCACAGGAGTAGCACACCTGTTACTCCTGTGCCTAGGGTCACAGAAGGGAGGAGGTGATAGTACCATCACTTAGGAGAGTAGGGAAGACTGTCACTCAGAAAAAGAAAAGGGCATGGGTAGAGGGAGAGAGAAAGTGAGAGAGCAGAAACACAGTACCCAAATCTCATCTCGAATTATAATCCCTCCGTTTCGAGGGAGGGATCTGTAATCCCCATATGTCAAGGGAAGAAGGTGATTGAATCATGGGGGCAGTTTCCCCCATGCTGTTCTCATGATAGTGAGTTCTCATGAGATCTGATGGTTTTAAAAGTAGCAGTTTTTTCCTGAACTCTCACTCTTCCCTCCTGCCACCTTCTGAAGAAGGTGCCTGTTTCCCCTTTGCTTTCCGCCATGATTGTAAGTTTCCTGAGGCCTCCCTAGCCGTGTGGAACTATGAGTCAATTAAACCTCTTTCCTCTATAAATTATCCAGTCTCGGGTATTTCTTTATAGCAGCATGAAAATGGACTGATACAATCAGTTTCTGAATACAAATGTCTTTTTATTTCATGTAACCTGGAATTTATCCACTGCCAGTTTTTAAACTTTTATAACTCTTGGGTGTAATTGTGTCTGCTTTGGCAATGAGTCAGATGAAAGCCATTTCTTCACAGAAGTGATTAAAAATCTTGACGTGTAATGGCTTCAGTTGGGGCCCCAGAGAAACAAAGAAGCATACCCGATATGACATCCTGTTTGTCATCTGGTTTCTTTTCACAAAACGTATTGCATTCAATGGGTCCTGCATTCAATGTGGGGCTCTGAACTTAGACAGCAACAGACTGCCAACAAAACTTGATCAATTAAATACTGTGAGTAAACCTTAAGTGCTACCTTACTCGATTAAAGCTTGAGACTGCTCCGTCTGTATAGCCTTTTAAATCAATTTGAGGGACCTAGACACTGCATGAGTTAATTCATGAGGACTTTTCTAAACCAAAATAGTCCACTATCATAAGTGTGAGTTGAAGATGTCACAGCTAACACTTATATTTGTGCTGACTGTATGTTAGGGATGGTTCTAAACAGTTTAAATGTGTTAATTTATTTGATCCTCCCAGAAATCCTATATGGGAGGCATTAGTATCACCTTCATTCTTCAGATAAAGAAAGGCACAGAGAGGATACATAACGTACCCTAGGTAACACTGTAGTACATGGTAGACTGGAGTTTTTACTCCAGGCACTTTGACTTCAGGGTCCTTAGTTATAACCTCTACACCAAACTGTCTCTCAAACCTTGTCATCCACATCCTGACTCAGCATATGTACCAATCATATGGAGTTATCCATGTTCTCCTGCTAAGGTACTTTGTGCACTGGTGATGCTCTTCTTAGTAGCAATACCAGTTTAACCTGTGGTTTACCTCATTTTCCCTTTTCTTGCCTTCCAACCTATTTCCTGTATTAAATTTCCTGTTTAAAATACCTAGTGTGCTTTTTACTTTCCTGGCTGATATAGTGATATTTCCAAAATTGGTAGAAATTCACGCTTGAGTCTATTTCCATTAAGGATCAATGAAATGGAGTATTTTATAAGGCAGATTTGAAAATGGACCACAAATGACCATATTGATCTGCAGAGCTACCCATTATAGGGAGTAGGCTGTAATCTGTGCCAGAGTATTATGTCAGGTGTTTTTACATGTATGTAAGCTCATCTAATCTTCCCAACAATACTAAGACTTGGTTATTATTTCTAGTAGGCAGATAAGTAAAGGGAGGCTAACTGAAGTTAAGTAACCTACACAGGATGAAACAACTAGTAAGTGAAAGAAGCAGAATTCAAACCCAGGCCCATGACACTAGAACCTGTACCCTTAACTGTTTGATAGCATGGCCTTCCCTCTGCTCTTCTTCCTACAGCTCTCGTCACATTGCCCCCACCAAGTCTCCACCCTGACTCCTCTGTTCCTCCAGCACAGCTGCCTAAAAAGGACCCTTAAGAACCCCTTTTCTGATTACAAGCAGAGCTTCCTGATCCCAGATTTCAGTCCTGACTCTGAAACTCTGTGTGGAACTGAGGAGATAACTTAAATTATTTGAGTCTCTCTATCCTTTTCTGCAAAGTGGGAATGAACATCATCTATTTCACAGAATCACTGAAGGAATTAAAAGATAATGAACATGAATATGTCAAGTGCTTCAATATTTTCAGTTATGATAATAAAATGGGGTTTTCAGCATCATCAAAACAGTGCATAATAAGACAGACTGTCTGGGTTTTAGGATGCTATGAGGCATAATTATTTGCTTCCAGATCAACTGGATCAATATTTTGGAAGGCTGTATCTTAGAGCCCAATGGAGGAAGACTCTAATTAATGCTTTCTCTCACTTTTGAATGTTCCTGTAAAATTCTGATGGTCATCTACAAAGCTGGGATTGCTTTCAGATATGCCACTTGTTGAACCACAATTTCAGGAAAGAGCTATACCTCAGAACTATAGGTACTTAAAGAATTACAAAAGACTATGTTTTCAAGAAAATCTAGTGAATGGTAAAAACGTTTTTTTAATGAGGAAGAAAAATCATTTATCAGAATTATTTGTAGGAGAGGAAATAACAGTGGTTGTGATTAGAAAGGCCTGTAATTAATAGACCTCCTGGAAAATACATGTCCCAAAATATTGGAATAAAAAAGAATTATGGCTATTTTTCATCAGTAACTTACTGCAAATACACAGTCCAATTCACAATAAATTGTACAGTCATATGTATATGCACTTAATTTGCCAAAACACTCATAAAGTTTAATGAAGTTAACTCTCAGCAAGCAGATTTATTATTATTCATTTAGTATGAATGAAGTAAATAAAAAGTGTTTAACAACAAACATGATGCATTTGCCATTAGAACATGCCCACTAATTGTAAAATACTCAAATTGCTTAATTCTTTCTTTTATGATCAAATTAGGCCAAACCCAAGTCCACTTTGTTTTATGGTACCCACTTAGCTACACATCATTTCTGCCACTTCCTTTATTTTGAATCTGCCCTAAATCTTGTGATCTCTCTGGCATATTCAGGCTCCTATCTAGCCAAAGAATTAATCAAATGTTGGTGTTTTCTGGCATCACCAGTTTTAATTGCTTGGACTTGGGTTAGTTGAAAGGCACAAGGCCAGTAAAACTTGCCAGAAAAAAAAAGTACGGTAAATTTAGCACTTACTGTTTTGAGGTCTTCATTAACATGGGTGTCATTCATTATAAACTCTGGATAGCCAACTTTTGCCAAAACAGCTCTCGCCTATAAAAAGGAAAAAGAAAAATAATGTCAGAGTTTCAGCACTTAAATCATTAATAATCACAAGATGTAGGAATGTGCCCTTCATCTGAAAACTCCATTTACCTGAATATATACTATGTGCAAGCCACAGTGAAGGGCAAAAATATATAGATATATATTGAGAGACCTCAGTATACTAAAAATGTAGTGAATGTAGCAAATAACTGTCTAGCACAATGTAAACAAAATAAAAATTTTAATAGAACTAGACAATATTGTTATCAACCTCCAAAGCAGAGATTATTTCTTCACGGAGAAAGCGCTTAATGGAGAAGGTGACTGAATCATGTCTTAGAGAATGGTTAGGATTTCAAAATGTAGAGCTAGAAGAAGATTTCAGGGGAAGAAATGGGACAAAGACAGGGGCAAATATATATGCAAACCATATATCTGATAAAGGGTTAATATCCAAAATATATTTAAAACTGAACTCAATAACAAGAAAGCAAATAACCTGGTTAAAAAATGGGGAAAGGAGACTGGACACACTTGTTCATGCCTGTAATCCCAGAGCTTTGGGAGGCTGAAGCAGGAGGACTGCTTGAAGCCAGGAATTCAAGACCAGCCTGGGCAACACGGCGGGACTCTGTCTCTACAAAAATAAAAATTAAAAAAAAGTAAGCTAGGCATGGTGGCACATGCCTGTAGTTCCAATTACTTGGGAGGCTAAGGCAGGAGGATCACTCTACCTGGGAGGTAGAGGCTGCAGTGAACTATGATCACGCCACTGCACTGCAGCCTGGGTGACAGAACAAGACCCTGTCTCAAAAAAAAAAATTAAAAAGGGAAAATAATGAGAAAATACATTTCTTAAAAGAAGACATACAAATGGTCAACGGGTATTTTTTTTAATGATCCACATCATTACTCATCAGGGAAATAAAAATTAAAAACACAATGAGATATTACCTATCACCAGTTGGAATGGCTATTATCGCCAAGACAAGACATAAGAAGTGTTGGCAAGGATGTGGAGAAAAGGGAACTCTTGTGCACTGCTGATAGCAAAATAATTTGGTACAGTCAATATGAAAAACACTATGGAGTTTCCTCTAAAAAGTAAAAATATAACTACCATATGAAGCAGTAATCCTACTTCTGGGTATATATCCAAAGGAAATGAAATCAGTATGCTAAAGAGATATCAGTGCCTCCATATTCATAGAAGCACTATTCAAAATAGCCAAGATATGGAATTAACCCAAATGTCTAACAACAGAGGAATGGATTAAAAATGTAGTATCTATACACAATGGAACACTATTCAGCTTTTAAAAAGAAGAAACTCCTGTCATTTGTGACAACGTGGATGAACCTGAAGGACTTCATGCTAAGTGAAATAAGCCAGGCACAGAAAGGCAAATACTACATGATCTCATTCATGTGGAATTTTAAACAGTCAAACTCATAGAAGGAGAGAGTAGGATGGTGGTTACCAGGGGTGGAGGAATGGGGCTGCGGAGTTGGTCAAAAGATAACAAAATTTCAGTTACATAAGGGGAATAAGTTTAGGAGATGTACTGTACAACATAGTGACTACACTTAATAACAATGTACTGCACACTTGAAAATGGCTAAAGGAGTAGATTTTAAATGTTCTTAGCACAAACATGATAAACATATGAGGTGATGGATATGTTAATAGGCCCATTCTCTTATATATACATGTATCAAAACATGTTGTACATCATATATATAATTTTGTCAGTTTAAATATATTAAAAGAAAACTACAAGGAGACAGGAGACACACATGATATGGCATATTGGAGAGAGGGCGAGTAATTTAATGTAGCTGGACTATAAGTACATGAGGATAGAGAGGAGAAAATAATGCCGGAAAACTGGTCTGGGGTCAGATCACAGGGGTTCCTGAATGCCATGCGACAAACGTATATTTTATTTTACAGCTAAGAGAGAGGTAAATATGTTTAGCATGGGAATAAAAGGAGATGAGTCATGCCTCAGGAAGATTACCTTTGCAACATTGTGAAAGATGGCCAGGATGCCAGAAAGATGAGAGGCAGTGGTCTAAAATAATTCAAGATCCAGCATAATGTCATAACTATCATTTAGATAGACAATGGTACAAATTATCCTGTATGCTTTATAACAGAGAGGGAATAAATAAAGGAAAAATAAACTTAGGCACATATAAGGAAGCTCAAGAGCAGGGATTGGCAAAATATGTTCCCTGGGCCAAACCCAGCCACCCTACCCCTGTTTTTATAAATAAGGTTTCATTGGAACATAGCCACACTCATTCATTAATCTGTCATCTATGGCTAGTTCTGCATTACAGCTGTGGAGCTGAATAACTGGGTCAGACACCTTGGGGCCCACAAAGCCTCAAATGTTTTATCTGGCCGTTTCTAGAAAAAGTTTGTCAATCCTTGTTTTGGAGAAACTTTACAGTTCCGTGTGAAAATTTCTCTTTCCCTTCCCCAGATTCTGAGTTTCATAAAAGCAAAAAAGAAGGTTACAACTACATTTTAAGCACATTGTCAGGGATTTGATCAGGTCCCCTGGGATCCCTTTTATAACTTCTGTACATCCCTCTAGCATCTATGTTTTTTCTTTTCTAACGGCCAAAACCTGAAACTTTTTGAAGGCCACCCCTTTCTGTCTTGCTTCTCCCATTCCTTTACTGGTTTCTCTTGGGAGTACTCATTTAATAAATCACTTACACAGGAATTCTCATTTCCAGATCTGCCTCCAGATGACCCAACCTAAGACCAAGGCAACCCCAAATGGGTTAGTTTTATTCCAGCAAAGCCACAAAGCAAAACCAGTGACTTTGGACACTGTTCTTGGTAATGAGTTCTTTCCTTTAGTCCCTTTCAGTTTTCCTCACTCAAGAAATAAACAGAATAAGGTAGTACACTTTCCTTATCTTCCTTGAGATAATTCAAATATTAAGTATGAGCAGAATCCTGAAACTCAAGACTTAGGATTTTACAAGGGCCATAGGACATAGTCATAATGGGTTTTGCTATTTCAGAGACTCAAATATAGCACAGATCGAATTATACCTTCAAAACCCTGTGAGTTACACACACTAAAAGCCTGATGTCCAGACAGCAGATAACTAGAGGTTACAGCTCTACCTCCAACGCCAGACTATGTGATATGTCTGTAGGTTACCTCATTCTGAGATTATTCTATTATTTCTTGCATTGTATTTAATTTTACACTATATTTTATCAGCTCACCATAAGTCATATGCATAACTATAGCAAGTAAAGAATTCCAGATAGTTTGAAAGAAAGAAAGAAAGAAAGAAAGAGAAAGAAAGAACAAAGAAAGAAAGAAAGAAAGAAAGAAAGAAAGGAAGAAAGGAAGGAAGGAAGAAGGTAGGAAGGAAAGAAGGAAAGAAAAAATGATGTTGTGGTGGGGGGGGGGGCAGGGGGGGAAGAGAAAGGGCAAGGGCAAGGGCAAGGGCAAGGGCAAGGGCAAGGGCAAGGGCAAAGGCAGGCAGGCGAGAGATAGATATACCAGCTGAGTCATTCATGATTGTTTCCTGAAGACTGGTCTTTCCAGAGCATGCTGGTGAATTATGCACTGTTTTTTTAAACCTCGTCTCATTTCTGGGACCCCCCACTGCACTACAGAGCCTCACAGAATATATTACCTTCTGCACCATCTATGCAGGTTATTGAATCCTTATTTATTATTTATTTAGCATCACCATGACTTAAGAAAATCAGGACAGATACAAAGAATCCCTATTTACCTCCCAAAGATACATAACTAGAATAAGGTGATAATACCAGTAGCAACATTACCAACATCTGAATAGAGGGTTCTTCTTCCCAAAATTGCTATATACGCATGCCTCTATTCAGACTCAAATGTTTTTTTTTCTGACAAAGACTTCGTTGTCAATTTCTCATCATCATACTCCACCCCATTCTACATTTTTCCCTAAGAAGCTTCAGAACTACGTCTTGCAATATCCCATGGGTCCAGGTTAGACTGCCAATGAGAAACACTCATAGACAATTCCAAAGGTAGAAGTGAAGATACCATTTATTTGCTGTTGGTGGCCATATACAGACATGTGGGCATACAACCCTTAGCCAGCAACTGCCAAGCATTCTCCTGAGAAAGACCTCTTTGGTGGGCAGGCCACAGAGATCATTGGCAGACTCTGACCTTCACCCGCTAGCCCTCTGAATGGTTGCCTTAGCCTCCAATTCTCTGTATTAAAAAATGTCATGCTGGTTGATATACTTGGAAGAGTGTCTGTATTCCAGAATGAACCCTTAGTAAGGCAAACAGTGATCACAACCCTTTTTAATTTTTTTCAGAATGAGAGAAGTGAAGCAGCAATAGTTTGGTGACTTGAAAGGCAAAGTATTACTTAGTCAGGGCTGAAATTAATTACCCTATGGTTACATGGACAAAAAGGAAAGGCAAGTCTCACTATAAATGCTGAGAGCGCAGTGATATAAATATTTAACAGATTGCATATTATATCCTGCAAGAAATATTTCCTAGGCTGCTTGTGGCTGATCAAAAACTCCAGGGCTTTCCATACCCAGTGCATGCATTTTCATGCTTTATTCATACAGATATCTGGAGAGAAGCTGCACCTGACAGCTGGACATCCTTCCTTATTAGAGGAGGTTTAAGCAGCTGCTGATCTTCACTACCTCTCTGACTTTCGACAGAGTACCTAACTTTTTGAAATAAACACTGCCCAGTGTCTACCTAACATCTATTCTCCCTTTCTTCTCTTACTAGCAGGACTCTAATTCTGCTCAGGATGACAACGGATGCAACAACAACAACAACAAAAAAAATAGCTGTGTTGCCCAGCTTCCTTTACAACTATGGGATGAGATTTGGGCCAATGACATATAAGAAAAATTTCTTGTTGCACTTGGAATAATCCATTTTAAAAGGGGACAGACGGAACAGCATTTACTTTCTGCCTTTAGTCCAGGGTTTCCCAACACT